GCGCCCTTACCTGACATAGTGACAGCCATCACGGAGTACCCCATACTTGCTTCTCTCTAAAAGTTACACCGGTTTATCGGCAAGGTTAACTTATAAAGAATATTCATTCCGCCGTGTTCAGAGTTAGCCCAGCCATTTATCGAGCTACACAAATTAGATGCTACATCAATTAGCTTTACGGAATCAGCTAAACACACATTCAGTGTTCTAAAACCCCAGCTAGCAACTGCCACTCTCCTGGTACATCTAGATCCGAAGGCCCCGTTACCGTTAACGGTGGACGCCTTAGATGCATCAGTAGGTGGTGTGCTACAACAGCGAGAGCGAGAGGAATTGTATTCGACTACCTTTTTCTCTAGGAAATTACAGCCAGCCGAAAGACACTGTAGCACACTCAGCGCAGAACTCCTAGATATTTACCTCAATATGCGTCCTTTCCGACGTCAGTAGGAAGCGTGCACATTCATGATATTAACTGCCTATAAACCGTTAACGTATGTACTGCGTTCCGCTTCTGATCGTCTTTCTCCACGAGCAATTAGACAACTAGATTACATTTCCCAACTTACCTTTGACATTCGGCATTGGTCCGGTGCGAATAATGCCGTAGCAAATGGCTTATCCTGGCCGGAAATCAACACCTTATTGGAGCACTCCCCCATTGATCTCCAGTAATTAGCCACGGCACAGCGTCAGGATAAGCAGTAACATCGACAACTGCAAGGAACCAATTTACAGGTGAAACTCATCCCGTTGCCTGTTAGTTCGGATGTCCTAACGTTTCTACAGGAAAGTCACCACCTGTAGTTCCACTGACCAATAAGCGAATCAGCTTCGATTCGCTGCATGGTTCATCACATCCGGCCATCCGCGCAACTCGCAAACTCATTTCTGATCGTTTTGTCTGGCCAGCATTCTTCAAACGCGTGCAGACCATACTGAAAAATTATCTCCATGTCAACGTTCAAAAATGCAGCGCCATACACAGGCATCACTCGGCATTTTTACCCTTTCCTGGTGCACGTTTCAGTCATGTTCATATGGACCCCATCGGTCCGCTACAGCCTTCGAGTGGATATAAGAACCTGCCGATTTCCATCAATCGTTACACTCGTTGGCTCGTGGCAATACCTATTACCGACATATCTGCAGAGACGGTAGCACATTACTTTGTGACTCATTGGATCGCGCGTTTTGTTTTACCATCCACCATAACAACTGATGGCGAGGCGCAATCAGAGTCGACGTTCTATTGAGAGTTAAGCAATATTCACGGAATCAAGCGAATAAGAACAACTGCGTACCACTCATCAGCGAACGGGTTAGTGGAACGTTTCCATCTCCACCTCAAAACTTCTTTGACCGCATGTTCTGACACAACTCGTTGGACTGAAACACTACCGCTGGTTTTACTAAGTTTTCGAACCACATCTAAAGCTGATTTAGGTTGCTTCGACGCGGAACTGGTACATGGTACCACGTTAAAGCTTCCGGCTGATCACGTTCAACCAGTAGACACCAGCGCTCTAGATTCTTCAAACTTTTTCTATCGACTACTTTCATCCATGCGTGAACTGCATTTTACTGCTATATGCGCACAAACCAACAAAGTTTACATACCAAATACCTGACAACTTTTCACATGTGTGGTTACGAAATGATGCAGTTCGCAAGTCACTGCAGCCACTGTACGAAGGGACAATTTTAGTGATATCTAGAGTAAACAAATACTGTAAGATCAATAGGAATGGTAAGGTCGATGTGGTTTCTGTAGGCTGTCTTAAGCCAGCGTATATCGAACAACCTTGCCAAAAGCAATCAACTGGTCCTCAAACTACACTGCGTACGCAGCGGTTATCAATCCTTGTTGAAAGAGCCCCACAGCTGTTCACATCTAAAGTTAAACCACAATAGGACATCACCAAGCGGTAGACACGATCAGGAAGGAGAGTTCATTTTCCAGACCTCCTAATGTATTATGCATCTTGACAATACCATCTCGTTGTGCTGAGCACTTGGCTATACTGTTCGCTACCAGTGTTTTTTTCTTATTGTTCTCCAGATTCCGCCAGGATGCCAGCGAACATCTCTCACAAGACGAAGAGGAAGAGCAGCAAATGTCGCCTAATAACAACAAGAAAACCATTATCACATTCACCATCTTTATTTTTGTCTCGAATTTTTCATTGTACTTTAGACAAGGATCTTTAGCCTGCATATCTCTCATGCTTCAGCCTCGGGCATTTCTAGCAACACCATAGCAGATAGAGGTCAGTCTTTAGCTGCCATTCCCAACGGGATTTTTCAATTCTGGTTGCTTGAACATCTTACGGTTAACGCACTGGCTGAGGGTATGTAGGACACCCGTTTACATTTTGCTACCTAAGCTTTGCTAGTACATTACCCTTAACCAGCTGACATTTTCACCAGCTACATCGAACATCTTCAAATGTCTTAGCAATACACAATCGATACTAACTTTTAATAACTGACAAGTAAGGTGCACCAGCATCAGCAGCATACCTTTCCAGGCTTTCCTTTGTTCTTCCGTGCATAATATGTGGGATCATTGAAACACAACAACGGGGAATGCATACTTTCACTTCCGTTTAGCATCCGAGAACGACGGGACATTAATTCCGAAATCCGCAAATAAGAAGCGGTCTTAGAGCTTTCCAGGCCAACGCCAAGGATGCATTGGACCTAGAGGCTTACTCGATTGATATCTTTAGCAGTGATCGCACGCTTTTAGGTAGTTTTCAATTTCAGAAGCAAAGCCGGGCCACAAGCAATGACTGCGTTCTAGGGGCTTTCATTCGGAAAAACCTAAATACTTATTGTAAAATTCATTTAGAACGAACGAGCGAGCATCCAACGGTGGAAATAAACATGAGCTCCTAAATAAGCAGTCATCTTTTATGCGCATTTTGAGCTGTTCTCCGAGCTGAGTGATTATTGTGCAGACGTTTCGTTGCCTGCTTATGCAACATCATCAGTGCGGCTTCAGGAGCCTGATTCGCAGTGCTTTGTAAGCGACTTCAATGTCCAAGTGCTTATTGATGGAGTTCTGGTTTGAATGCGAGGCTACAATGAACTCAAGTGCTTGCGGGATTTGAGCCCTTCCGAGGATGCTGGCCTTCTCTAGGTCGAACTGATTGTTCTCGGCATCCATATGCACTGACATCAGAGAGTTTTGACCGGGGCGATGCATGGCTAGGATGTGTTCGTGTAGCCTTGTGCCAAGCGTTCTTCCAGTCTGTCCCACGTAGTATTTATCGCAGTTCCATCAGCAGATCTTAGAAATTACACTACAGTTTTTTCTTCTTGGCTAAGTTTATCTTCCAAGAGTTTACTGCAAATTATCGCCGTTGGTTGGTGTGTAACTTTGACTCCAAAATGCAATAAAAGCCTCGCTGCCGGCTCAGAGATTCGGTTGCTATAGGACAGAATTACTCTCTTTTCAACTGTTACAGTTGTCGAGGTGCGTTGAGCAGCCTTTTGTCGTGCGAGGCGGCGTAGAATGTAGCCTTTTGTGTACGAGTTTCGCTTGAGCAGATTGAAGAGATGGTCTTCCTTTCCCCGTCTCAGCTACGGTGTGCTATAATGGGTTTGTGCTCGTTTGAAAAGCGTTCGCGCGCAGCTGCGTTGGTGGGCTGCCGGATGACTGCTGCCGTAGTTGAGATCTGGTCCGTATGCGTAGATTTTCGATAGACTGTTGTTTCCAATCATCCAACATCACTTCGTCGTATGAGCACATCAATTCGACCTAGAGCACACCAGCATCCTCAGAAGGGCTAAAAGCTCGAAAGCACATGAGTTCATTGAAGCCTGGCATTCAAACCAGAATTCGATCAATAAGCACTTGGACATTAAAGTCGTTTACGAAGCACTGAGGCCCCTAAAGCCGCACTCATGGTGTTGCTTGGTCAGACAACGAAATGTCTGCTCGATAATCGCTCAGCTCGGAGAACAGCTCAAAATCCGCGTCCACGCCCAGAGCTACGGATATTTTCATTTATTTCAAACCTTCTGTTATATTCAGCTCAAGTTAGAGAAGCCTAAATGGTATCAAATCAGCCTACAAATTCTACTAGGCCAGTCCAGTTTCGTGAAACTTCTCACGAAGGCTAGTTTGCAAATTCGATCGCTCCATCGGCGTAGAACCTCACATGTCAAATTGGTAGTCTCGAGGTAATGCATCCAAAGTACTAACTCCACCGGTTCCTCTACTGTCCCTCCGGGGTTGCGTGCGGTACCTGACTCAGGGCATTCGCCGTGCAATTATTAGAGCCAGGGATGTAAGATGTTATGTATACATACGCACTCAGGATTAGGGTCGACCGTTGCATTCTAGGTGAAAACATTTAATAGTTTTGCTTGGAGTTATCCGATAAGGATACCAAATGTTTGTGGTCAGTTTAGGTCTCAAAATGACTGCCCCAAATATGCCGGTGAAATTTCTTGACGCCACAAGTAAATGATAGGGCCTCTCGATCCAGTTGAGTAATTTTTAGTAGCGTGTAAGGCAGGCGAAGCGAAAACAATCAGATGAACTGCACCATTTGGCATTTTATGACATAAACCGCTCCAACTCCGTATGGAGAAGCATTACACTGAATGATCAAAGGCATTTCGCTATCGTTGTGAACTAAGGCTAGCGCTAATGTCCAGACGGTTTTACGAACAAAGGAAAACGGACTGCTCCTCATCTTTCCACAACCACTGGGTGTTTTTATGCTGTAGTACATTCAAAAGCGCTAACATATTTGATGCTCCCGGTAAAAAACAACGATAGTGTAATAACTTCTAAGAGTGATAAATAAATACTTGTATTATTCTCGAATTCGTAGAGGCACACCATCTGAGGCAGCATCGGATTTCAACACTATTTTTAGGTTGCGGTGCCTGTATACTTAGAGATAATTTCTCCAGAAAAACATGCATACATCTCTTATCAATTTCATAGCGAAGATACCAAAGAGATTTAGACAAAAGCTCACATTTGGACTTCTTTAGTTTCATTCCATTTGTTTCCAAACGTTCAAATATCGTCCGAAGTGCATTTAAATGTTCAGCATCAATGCGGCCAGAAACCAGGATATCATCCAAATAGGTAGGAGTATGGCGCATATCCTTCCACAATCCGCTGAAAGATGCTGGAAGGAATTTTAATCCGAAAGGAAGACGACTATACTTAAGTACTCCAAGATTTGTGGTTATTGTTTTTACTACATGTGAATCCTCAACAACTTCGACTTTATAACTTGCGTGACTAGGCACAAGCTTAGAAAAATTGGTGACCACCGGATAACGTAGCGTACAGATCTTCGATGGGTGGCAAGGGATACCTTTCTACCTTCGAGCTTGATTGACAGTTTACTTATAGTCACCACAGATACGAAAGGTACCGTCGCGTTTGAGTACAGGAACAACTGGGTACCCAAATCAGAGTGCTGTACGGGCGTGATTACTTCTTGGGATTGTAGCCATTGCAGTTCCCCTTCAACTCTGGGATGCATAGTGAAAGGTAATATTGGTGCTTTGAAAATCTTGGCATTGGTGTTCTGCCGTAGACTGATGGAAGCTATAAGGTGGTTCAGCTTAACCAACTTACTTTCAAATAAAGAGGAAAATCGGTTGAACAGACCGATTAGACTTCATTAGTCTGCGTCCTTTCTGGGAAGTATCGAATCCAATTTCTACCCAAGTGATTTGGTCTATTCCCATGTACCATGATCAAAGGTGAAGTTAATTCGCGCTCACCGTGCCTGAATTCGACCATGCACTTTCCAAAAACCCTAATCAGATGTCCGGCGTAGGTTTGCAATTTAAAGTTACAAGGTTGTAAGGGCGGCAGACTCTTAATTACATCACTGTTTATAATGGTAACTGCAGCCCCTGTATCCAGTTCCAAATCGATCGGTTCATTCTCGATCATCAAACGAAACGTATACAGAGGGCACTTACTGCGTGATACGGTATTCAAGTAGACGGAATTTAGATCGTGGTCTGGATCTTACAGAACGTTTTTCTCCGCAAGTGGCAGCATATGATGGCGCGTCAGTTGATAGAGATTAGTCGGTGGAGCGAGTTCCGATCTGCACAAGCGGGTTAAGTGACCTATTACAGCCCATTTTCGGCAGGTGCTTTCTTTTTGGAGACACTCAGGAGCACCAGCATGTTGTATCCCGCAACAGGAACATACGAACTATATTCGAGGTTCACCTAAAGACTATGGTTTATCAACTGCGTGAAGAACCTAGACGACAGGATGTGCAATGGATTAAGGTAGCTGGCGCGACATGTCCTCCCCTTTGAGAACGAGTAGACAAGAGTTCTCCCGTGTCGTATCTGACTAGTTCTAAGATAACGATTTTCCAGTGCACTTTCATCCAGAATACCCACAATTAGACACAGTATTTTCATTTTTCTTAAAACCTATCGGACGGAAATGCATTTTAGTTAAACTCGGAAATGGACTGGTGGATGTGGGCAATGTTGTCATTGACACTCTCGTTCGGTTTCTCTACAGGCTTTGAAAGTAGTTTCTCGCAGTATAAACACTCCGTTCCAAATCCCACAGCGTAGTATATTTATCCAAGGCAGACATACTATTGTCACAATTTCTCATATGTAGTGCGTTATAATGCCGCTGATCTTCATCCCCATTAGTTTTCTGAATAGCGTTATTTGGTGGGAATCCGAAAGTAAAAGCACGGGATTCAAAAAGGCAGTAGTTCCTAGTATTAATTAGATGAATTTTTCCACCGCGTCCAGTTTGATAAATCCGGTTTTTCCTCAGCGGAAGACCAAAAGCTAGGTTGGATTAATACTAAGGTTCATCTGGACCCGTTGCCAATATGACGTAGTACTGAAGTCAACCGAAACACGCTCGTAGACTGTAGTTAGGCGGGACAGAACACAATACGAAGCAGGGTGTATCGGGTCAAAACCGTGCGCATGGACCACATGACATACGAGTTAATGCATGACACGAAGAGTTATTGATCGGCCAATGCGAGACAAACTAATACGAAACGCAGTGTGGCTGAGCTAACTAATCAATGTCCTCGACGGACGTAACAGTGCGTGATACGTAGATTGCAGTTCGACACCTCTACTGAGCCTAACTCAGTTACTGGTGGCTACAATTACCAGTAAGACCAACCAAGAATACGGAGTATTCAGAAGTGAACGTCGCCGAACCCAAAGTGTATTGTGCGACCTGCAAACTGGAAGTCAATCAGCGAAGAACCGCATGGTTCACAGGGAAATTGAAAGGGAACGCCAAGCACTGTCAGTAAAACCAATGGAAGTTAAGGCGATACGAACACGAATACTATTAATTGTCCCGAAATAATGACAACCGAAAAGTTGCACATTCATTACAGGGGTCTTACCCTAGAAGACTGATGGAGGGAAGCTTTCAATAAATGTCGGGTGGGAGACGATGTGAAGGATGAGCAATCGAGTATAGATAGAAGGCGCATGTATGTAGAAATCGCGCTCGTAGAGTTCGCTAAGTCCGGCATTCTTGGTTATTTTTCATTTCATATTTGGGTGTGGACTGGGGCGCATCATGGATGGGCCGTCGGAGCGGGCTTATCGGACTGCAAAAAATGCACCGGCTATTCTAAACTACAACCGACAAGACATTTCCACCACTGCAGACCCGACGGTGCGCTTGGGAGGTATCACTCCCCACTCTCACCCCAGCCCACGGCGAAAACGGTCCAGGTCCCACGAAGAAACCCAAATGTAGTCTTAGGAGTACCGTATTCGAGCGCTGTCGGACCAGACTAGTCTGTCATTACCAGTAGAATGGGGGAGAGTAGTTGCTTGGAGCCAAGGTGGTGGGGCCTGTGGCTTCGGACACATAAGTAAAAAGATACCACGGTTTTTCTGGGGACAGGCTTTGAAGGATAAAACTCGGGGAGAGTGGAACGTGATCGGGGAAAGCGGAGTGACGTCGTTTGGAAAACAAAGCAAGTATACGGAGAAAAAAGGCACACATTTTTGGTTTTTCAAAAAGTTTATGGGGTATTGTCGTTTTGCAAAATGTTTGTCGATAAAGTACAGGCGTACTTTAAAAGACGCAAGTCATGGAAATTAACGAACACAATAAAAAAGTTTGGAAGACGAACTGAACGCATGACATGTCTACCACGTCGGTAAAATGCCTGAAGTTGCGGCTGGGTTGGCGGAGTGTCCAGGTTAAAGAAAGAGTCTTGAGTGTTTAATGTAGAAGACGCAGTTAAAACTAAGTGCATTTGCGTGGTTGCACCCGGTGAAGCAAACCTTTAAAAAACCAAAAATGAACCACCCCTTTTGTTGTGTCGCCGCTGACGCCTTCACCCCACGACCACAAGAAGAAGTCCAAGACGAGCCAGAAGGAGACTTTTATACATGAAATCACAGTTGCTTATACAGTTTGAAGGAAAAGATGAAAGGAAGCTACTAAAATACACTTGAGCCAACCAACTGACGGAAAAACGTCAAATGCAACGGCGAATAAGCAACCATGTACTCAAGAAGGAATCGCATAGGTCCTGAAAAATAGCATCATTGGACTCCAAGCGTAAAGCGAACGACCATTTACAGTGGCGGGCGCTGGCCAATCAGAATGACGAAATGAAAAGTTTAAACAAAAGTCACGAAACAACCGAGAATAAGGAATGCAGACCCAAAAGTTGAAAACTAGTACAATAATTGTGTGACAACTAAATATTCCTTTAACATAACCAAGTAGAACATTGCTGCGAAGAAAAAACCAATAGAATATGTCCTTGCAAATAGCACTGCTGAGAAGGACATGACGATGAGCGTCCATTAACAATGACGCGGATGTACCAATCGGGCGAACCCAGTAGAGCGTTTAAACAACAGTTAAGAAATAGAAAATAGGAAGAGGAAAGAATAGATATCAAGCTCGTTCACAATAAATGAATGTCTAATAGCTGTTCTCCAAATACCTTTGACCTATCTACCGCTTCCGTCAGTTGCCTAGGGTTTGGGACTGGCTTGGTGGTGCGTCAGGGACAACAGACTGGTCTATGGTGCTTGGTTCGGAAGATGAAGCCGCACAAGCGTTTACTTTTGCGTCTGTGCAGGGTGAGACTGAAGGCAAGTCTTCGAAGAATGCAGCCTTGAGACGATCGATGAACAATTGCTTGGCCAACTGCTTACGAGACCGTTGGGGAACTCTGAAGGGGCCGGTATAGGGAGGCTGAAGTAGGCCAAGCACTGAGTTTATGCAGAGGAAAACGTGCGTGCTGATAGGTAGCTTACTGTGCATTTGTACATCTCTGGTCGGCTCACTAGGGGAGATCAAGCTGAGTGGACAAATGCATTGGGAAAATGGGGCTGAAAAATTTGACGGTAGCATGCACGATGGCGCGGGGGCGAAATAAACTTTCTTGGCAGCTTAACTGTAGCGCAGTAGACCAAATCTGTTGGTGCGCATCGCAGGTCAGCCTGGATACTGTTGCGAATACCTAAAAGTACTAGCGGAATATTTTCGCTCCAGTCAGAGTCCGAAGTGGTACTGAGTGATGAATTAAACAGTTGAGGAAAGCTTTCAACTAAGCCATTAGCTGTAGGGCAATATGCCATTGCCTGAATACGGTAGCTATCTACGATGTTGCAGAACGAATCTAATTGTTAGGACTCGACAGGCTTTCCATGGTCGGTTGTGATAGGTGATGGACACCCGTATTGTGACACCCAACGGTCCAAGAATGCACGGACGGCAATTTCGGCCGTGTAATATGGTCGAAGGATGGGTTCTGGTCATCTAGTGAAGCGCTCGTTACATATCAGTACGTATACGAATCCGCAAGTATAAGGCAAATGTCCTATCAGGTCCAAGTGCACGCGTAAGAAACGGGAATTCGGGGCAACGAAAGAGCTCAGGTGACTACGGTTTGTCGACCTGCCCTAGAGCGTTGGCAGTGAAGGCAAGCTCGATCTCAGTTATTAACATCTTTGTTTCCTCTTGGCCGAACAAAACGCTCGGTGACACGTTTTAAAGACGTCTGAATAGCAGGATGAGACAACGAGTGAAGGGTGTCGAAAACTGTACGTCTAAACGAGGTGGGCAGGACGGGCCTTGGACAACTTGAGGATGGGTCACATGGGACAGTTCCGTCGGTAGTTT